TCACCTGTGATCTTGTATCACCATTACTCTCTGAGCTTTGTGTTGGTTCTTCTGTCACCTGACAAATAGGACAGACATGACAATAAGAATAAAATGTGTAGCTGCTTCAGTGCTTCTGTCAATTTGTGCAGATCTTGACTCGTCAGTAATGTTTGTAGGCTGAGTGCATTTTTAAAACAATTTGTGCAAACTGCACTACAAGGTGGAATATTTGCAAAATCATGACTACCTCGTTATATTTTGTCTCAAAAATGAACCCTATGAATATGTCAGTGCCATTAGGATTAAATTATTGTGTCACCAACATTTTAACGTTAGACATATAATTTTAACAGCCTCTGTAAACGAATATCCGGGCTTGCTCGAAGCTGCTGTTTTCTGTGAAAGTTTCGATCAAAATTAGAAATGCAACTCTGGGAGACTGAGAGAACTAATAGTGCTGCCTGTTGTGCAGTTAGTTTCCGAAATACTTTTTTATATCCAGGTTTTTCCTTTTTGCTGCCATCCTCCTCCTCGCAGGCCCTCGCAGCGCAGGCTTGCCGCTGCTAAAACTAAACAGAGCTCCTTGAAAAGCACAGCCAATCACATTGGCCATATTTGTCACATGAGGTAGGACTCCAGTAGAGAATGTAATTTAACTCTTTCTGCACCGCTGGGTGAACGAGACAGGTCGTTTTTTTCTTTCTATCGGGTTTGTTTTTCTTTACTCGAATAGATCAAATTATTGGTAGGGACAATTCAATAATCGCTGGATATTGGTGGGGACATGTCCCTTCCGTCCATGCCAGCTCTACGCCCTTGTGTTGATCTTTACTGCTGAAATCTTACTTTAACTTGTTGAAACTGCCGACATGGATTAACTTGCTGTCCTGCAAGCCACGTTGTAAAAAGTTTGTATCCAAAGACTCAAAAATGTCATGAAAAGGTGGTTACTGTAATTGTGCTTACTGTGTGTATGTGATTTGAAGTTGTTTGACTCTGCACTATAAAAATGATCTGATTGTTTTTAGCTCCAGTAACTGTTTTGAGGATTTTGAAAATGTGATTCCTTATTTTCCTATACTGTATGATGACAATAACAACAAGAGACAGATTAAATTGGTTTAGATAAGTTGAATCCAGTTCACTCACATCAAATGATTTCAATACTCATCCAGTCAGAGAAGGCCTAATTAAAATTACTTGAAGTAAAATCTTCAGACAAATCTTTAAGCGTCTTCCACTTTGACAGTTGATGTCTTCACTCTGACCCCCAACAGCATGGAATACACACCCATTAAAAACACTGAAACTGACTGGATAAAAAGCGTGAAATCTAAAGTGAAACTGAAGAAAAAAAATCATAAGAGATGCTGAAAAGAAGGATACCTTCCCTGCCTTGAAATTGGCAAAAGTATGTAGGGTGAAAATCCTGAATACAATCTTGTTAGTTCAAAGTCTTGGGAGCCATTTAAAATTATAATCTTGTCTCTAAATTAAAGTATACTGAAGAAGTTAAGGGGATTTCAGTCTTTAATCGCTTATATTATAAAAGAATAATCATAAGAGCATACTTTTTTTGTAATAGATAATATAATAATGTAATAATAGATACAAAAAAATGAAGGTGAAGGGCCACTTATTCTAAAATATTGTAATACCAAAAAAGTTTCTGTATGTGGAATAAGCAATGTAATTACTAATTAAGCATTCATAGTAAATAGACAAAGATTTGGACAAGAAGACTACATGTAACTGCTTAATCAGCATTCACATTAATAAAGATTCAATATTGTGATTGCTGAATGAGCATCAGCGCTAATTAGCAAAACCACATCCCCCCATGGTTCTGCATCAAGAATAAAAACATAAGACATAAGGTTGAAAATGAGTGTAAGAGATGAACAGGCTTGTCTTAAATTACTGTCCGGTGTATAAAATTGTGTGTGATGGTCTGGTGGCGCTGTTTTGGTACCTGCAGCGCTGGTTTCAATTGTTAATGATTTTTTTCTTTTAGAGGCTGTTTGCTAACCTTGGTAATGTTGTTTCTTACAGGCATCTTCTTATAATGTGTTGTGCATTTGTGTACAGTGCAGGGCATTTCTCCACCAACGGTTATCTTTACTCAGGCCACGGTTATTGAATTCTTTGTAACATAAACTAATTGAGCAAGCTAAGCTGTGTCTGTGGAGTCTTTCCTTTTGTTGCCAATGCTGAGCCAAGTTGGTAACATGAGCAAGTCACTGTTTACTGAAAAATATTCTTGTGACGTGCTGATAGTAACAGCTTTTTATCGCACTGTTAATTTTTTATGCACTTTTATATTTCTAAAAATCTGTCGACATCTGCTGTATTGATTTTATCCTTCTTCCTGTTGGACATACACTGATGCTGTGATTCAAAAGAGAAATCATTCAAATACAGACACCAGAGAGATGTAAACTAATGAACCATAATCGCTGATGAAATCTCAACAAACAAAAATAACACTGAGATACATCCACTGTGGACAATACACTGTATCATTTAGCAATCCTTTTGTCATGATTTTTTCCACTGGAAAAACTTCTTTTGGTTTGTATTATAGTTAGTTTTAAGTAATTTTTATATTTGATTTCCCAGAGGTAATGTTGCCCTTTACATTTCAGTGCACTAAGTGAATATAAGAAACTAATCATGTCTTTCAATTTTACATTTTTTTTACAATACTTTTAATATTAATATATATTATTAAAAATATATTAAATTATTATGCAGTGATCTTGTCAGTATTGAATGCATGAAACTTTCACATCTTAGATGACATCTTATAACCAAGTACACGATGCTGAAAGACAAACCAAATTTTTTTCTGAGGCAGCAAAAGTCAGCGTTTTACTTTTGTGCTGTAGCCAAAGCCATTCTCCCAAAAGCTGGTAAGTCACACACAACTGGCAAACAGCTGTGTCTACCATTAGTTAAAGAGTTAACATGCAGGGAGGAGGCTGCCAAACATTTGAACTTTGTGCCACTTTCCAACGACACAGTGTCACTGCTAATAGGAGCCATGGCCGATGATGTTAAAAACTGATTGATCATATTAAAAGTAGTTGCTATTTTTCTATTCAGCTGCATCATGCTAATAGCTAGCAGCTAAATGTCCTTATCACAGAGAATCTCTTTGATATTTAGGTGTACAGAGTTGTACTATCCTTCATAAACACAGCCAGACCCGCTTGTCTATTCTTCCCGCTGTCGTTGTTGTGTCAGCCTGAAGTTGATAAAAACTGTCCATGTTTATGTATGTGTCCAGAGTTACTATGGTAGCCACTTCTCACACAGGATAATTAAGCTGCTCTCTCTTCAAGCCCCCTGATGCTGGGTAAGGGACACCAAGTCATCAACTTTTTAGCAAAGGATCTCCCGTTCCCCATGATGATGGACGGGATGATGGGGCTCTACCTTCTCCTCTGGTTACAGCGCCTGATGTTGTTGTGGTTCCCTTGTCTGTTTCTCCTCAGCTTGACGGGGAAATCAGGCGGCTCGGTGAGAGGCAGCACCACAGAACTCTCCAGCCTTTTTAATTCAAGGTGCTCCAAAGGCTTGGGGAACAGGGCTGCCTCCTCGATCTAAGTAGGACGATGGGGGTATTGACTGGGGTGTCTTTTGTGTCTCAGCTGCAGGGGAGAGGTGGAGTAGCTGGTTCAGGCACGATCTGATATCCTCGTGTTGGTGTTGTTCCCAGATCATCATACTAAATGTTGTTCCAGGATCAACATTGCAAGTGACCAATCAGAATGTTGTGACGTCATACTTTTGCGACTTCGGGAAAAACCGGTGTAAAACAAAAAACTGTACTTAAGCTGCGAGAAACCACCTCTGTCCGCCGATCAACGGACCCTGACCCTAACCTTAACCCTTTAATAAACAGTAAGCAGAATTGATATTGTCCTTGCAACATTGGAATTTCATAAATGCACGAATGGCTTGGCGCGCAAAAGAATAACGTCACAACAATGTGATTGGTCACTTGCAATGTTGAACCTGGAACAACATTTTCATGATGGTCTGGGAACAACACCAACACGAGGATATCAGATCATCCGCTGGTTCAGGGTGTGGTGTCAGGGCTGATCCACACAGCTGACCTCCATCATCTAATCATTATTTTTTTCTAAAGAAAATCAGAAAGATGTTTGATGAAGACTCCTCTTCTATCAGTCCATCAGCAGGCAGAAGCAGCTGTGTGCTCAGTTCCTCTTTTAGAGTCTGAAGTCTTACAACTGATTCAAGAAACAAAACTGAAAACATCAGTTGTGCAATGAGAACATTTAGTTGCTGATTTACTTGCTTCATTGGCCCAACTTCCTGCAGACTATATCAGATATACTTCAGCAGTGTTTCTGGAATTGTTAATCTACTCTAACTTTTATTCTTTGTATTTCATTTTCTTTCTTTTTCCTTTAACTATCGCAAACAGAATATACAACAGTATTCATTCACACTATTGTTGAAGAAACATTTTCCTTCTTCCTTCTTTTGACATATGTACATATATGTCAAAATTTGTTTGTACATATAATTTTTATTAATATTTTAAAAAGGCACTTTCATTCTTACCTGTGTTTTGTCCATGTTATACCTGGTCTCTTCAGTTGTCATGGTTACTAGCCTGCTAATGCTTGGAAGTCTTCTCTTGATACCAGGAAGGGGAGAACTCAGAGGTCAAACTCTTATTCTTGGAAATCAAAAACCAGTTTAACTCTTAAGCAGTCGAAAAATCTTCAATTACATTGTAGAGCCAAATCTGCTGAATTTACCCCAAAATGGTCTCCAGTTATCAATAAACCAGCCAGTGAAATTGCCTTAGTGTCCAAACACAAATATCATGTCCACATGTATATTTAATAAAACTATTTTTGTTATATAATTCACATCTGCTTTTTTTTTCTTCAATATTTTACTTATTGTTGCTAATTTTTTACCTCTGACAACAAGGTGATGTATTTGGCAGCGTTCGCATGTCAGTCTGTCACTTACGTAAGCCAAAAACAACAGCAGCTCTTCATCTGATTGTGATGGAACAAATAACTCGACATAAAAACAATTTCTACACTGGTAAGTCAAAAAAATGAAGTTTTGTAGATCTGCAAAATATACAGAATTAAAAACGTATTTCTACACCTCTGTGGTGGAAGCCACATTATTTATTATACTTCTACATGTGACATTCAGAAGTTACTTAAACTTCTTCGTAGGTTTAGAAAATCAAAAGAAAATGTTTTCTCATCGTGATCTGCCAGGTTGTTGAAGAGCTATGCAACAGGATACAAACGAAAGAAGCAAAAGAAACAGACAAATCATAGAGAAGCAGGGGAATAGAAAACATACAATTTAACTAAAACAACTGCAGTTACAATGTAGACACTGAACATTTTGACAAAAGCACCAAATTCCATCATGTTCCTCTGTGATCCTAATCATTGGAAACATTGTGCTGAATAAATTAAACACAAAATCAAGTGAGGTAAGTTTCTTTTTGCCCAAGGGCACAACGACCAAGACAGACAGAGCTGGGGATTGAACCGGCAGCCTTCCTGTTAATAGATGAGCTTTGCAACCCCTGAACCATGGTCGCCCCATATTGACCCCATGTCTACTGTAACTAAGTAATGAGTAATGAGTTAATTATTAACTAGTTTGTTAATGAATTACTTCAGTCAAATTGAAACAGTATTTGCCACACTTCAGGCTGTATTCACTGGCAGGACGTCATACTCAAAAGGCTCTTGCAACGGTTTATAGGGATCGAATGGCCCGTAGAAATGGGCCAGACACCCCATACTCAGGTAGCACCTCCCACAGGACACCCCGAGGAACACAGTCGAATGCCTTCTCCAAGTCCACAAAACACATGTAGACTGATTGGGCAAACTCCCATGCGCTCTCAAGTATCCTTGAGAGGATAACGAGCTGGTCCAGTGTTCTGTGACCAGGAGGAAAACTGCATTGTTCCTCCTTTATCTGAGGTTCGACTAGCGGACAAATCTCCTTTCCAGCACCCTGGTATAGACTTTCCCAGGGAGGCTCAGCAGTGTGATTCCCCTGTAGTTGGAACACATCCGGACCCGTTCCCGACCCTAAGGCGCAGGAAACAAACCCTCTCATCCACCAGGAAGAACTCCAACATACAGGCAGCAAGCCGAGGGGATATTAGAATACCCACCCCAGGGGCAACTCCAGACTGAGACAGAGTCCAGCCCCTCTCCAGGAGACTGGTTCTAGAGCCCAAGCCATGCTTAGAGGTGAGCCCGACTATATCTAGCTTGTACCTCTCAACCTCACACACTAACTCAGGCTCCTTCCCCACCATGTCCCAATTGCCAGTCTTGGTAGCTGGGGCTCAGTCCGCCAGGGCCTCCACTCCTGGCCGCCGCCCATCACACAACACACCCAACCCCTACAATGCCTTGTGCGGGTGATGGGCCTGCGGGAGGATTGGCCCATGTCCCATTTTCGGGCTGTGCCTGGCCGGGCCCTATGGACTAAGCTCCAACCACCAGATGCTCACCCTCGAGCACCCTCCCCAGGCCTGGCTCCAGGGTGGGGCCCTGGTAACCCTGTCTCTAGCAGGGTAAACTGTTCCCTCAATGTTTTCCTTGTAAGGGTCTTCTGAATCGCTCTTTGTCTGGTCCCTCACCCAGGACCAATTTGCCATGGGAGACCCTACCAGGGGGCAAACACCCCCAGGCAACATAGCCCCTGGGATCCCTGGGACACACAAAGCCCCTCCACCAAGATAAGGTAGCGATTCAAGGAGAGGCGGATAAAAGACTTTTTTGTCAAAATTGACCTCTTTCTTGATTACAATATTATTTTCATGTATTATTTCCATTTCCAACTTCATATCTCACAGACCAGCAAAACTAGTAGTAACAATGTACTCAACGAGCAGAACCCAAATGAGGACCATAGAGAATTTTACTTTTGAGTTTTTAATTTACTTACTCAGAGGGTTATATGATGTGAGGAGGAAGCAAAATGGGGAAGGTGGAAACTGTTAGGGTCACAGACGAGGTGCAGTCCTGGATGATCTTTTGAGGGAATGATGTTGAGAGATTGTCCAGTGTCCAGAGAGTGAGAATTAGCCAGGATGCTTACTTGTAATCAAGGGGCGAAAAAGTCCAAGGGTCTATGAGTCCATGGAGGAAGGAGTAATTGGAACGTAAGCAGGTAGTTGAGTCACTTAGTTGCACATGTCATCCGGGGAAGAAGGATTTTTCTTACCTAGTTGTTGCACAGAGAACGCCAATTAATCAGGCCTCCCTTGTTGGTAGCCAGAGGCCAATAAGAGAGTTTGGCAGGTCAGAAAAGGGAATCGCAGCCGGACGCAGGGAAGGAGGAGAGAGCCACGGAGTAGCGTGGTGGCAGGCGCAGCCACAGCAGTGAGAGCTGTAGAGCGGCAATTACCGGCAGGGCACGGCCACAGGAAAAGAGAGAGACGGCCCTCGTTCAGTTGACGGCAGACTTCTTCCACGGTGGTAGCAAGACGCCAGCTAAACACTTAAGACACGGAGCAGCAGCAGGCAGAGTTTGGAGCTCTGCCCTCGCGTGGTAACTCCCAAGTGGTTAAAATTCTTAAAGACACCTCAGTAAATTAAGAAGGGTGACTGCTGCTGCTGTTCTGTGCTTAGTGGAAGCTGGAGCGGTGTGGCGAGGAGACCACGAAGGACTTTGTTGGCCTGGCTCCCACTGGTGGACTCAGCAGAACCTTAACAGCCAAGAAGTGTGGCGGAGCCCGATTAGGACCCTTGGGACTTTAGGTTTTGTTTTTAATCATTCTCTTCCCTGATCAGGGTATTTTTATGCTATAAATAAAGTGTATTTGGTGAATAGACACATAGCTCAATACATGAGTGGGGCCAAGACAGGAGTAACCAGTAACACCAGCGGAGTAGAACACCAGTTCCTGCTAGGTAGAGCAATCACTCGAGACTGTAGACTAGACTGACCAACTTGTAGACTGCCTAAGTGGACTACAAGAAAGCCTATGACAGTGCCTCACACATTGATCCTGGAATTCCTGGAACTGTACAAGATCATCAGAACCCTAAGAGCCTTCAATAGCACCTTAGTGGAGCTGATGTGGCATTGGTACTGTTAAGTGGACAGCATAGTGTATATGAATAGTGTATATGAATGTTGCATAAAAAGAAATCGAAAGTGTGAAGGGGTGAATGAAGCATGTTGTATAAAATGCTTTGACTGCTCAGGTAGAGTAAAACTCACAATCAGTTCATTTAGGGAAGAATCATAATTTAGGTAAAACTACACCATTTGTGACAATCATAATATCAATCTGACTTTGAATTACACATTTAATGACGCAAAAAATGTTATGCATGCAGTTTGCATCCTTTAAATTCACATTGGCATTAAAAGATCTTGGACTTGTGTAACCTGCCTGCCTTCATTTTAGACCAATAGCAACAACTTCCACAAAAATCCCCCAAAACACAAATGTGTGTCCTCATAATTCTATCATTAAGTTGTTCATCTAAAGTAGCTCCATTTAAACAGTCTAATTTCAGTGCAGGTTTCGAGTTTGATGCTATAATTATAAGAAATAAAACATATTAAATTATCTATTTACATAAGTACTTGTAACTCAGTTGCCTGAAACCTGCAGTATATAGGGGATGTAGTTTTACTAAATAATAATGTTTAACATTTTTGCAGGGTTTTTTTCTTTTTCTTATTAACCAAGCTGACTTTTGCAACTCAATTGAAGCAGCAGAAGTAGTATTTATATAAAAATAAATCTGTCTAAAGTATCTGAAACCAGAGTTTGTGTCCTGTCTTGTGTCCTTGTTATGCTTTCAGGTGGAATCCAGTGTGCATGCCATGGTAAAAACAGAGAGACTGTTGGAGGCACACAGTCGGTTTAATGTTTAATTTTTTCTGACTCAGACAACTTCACCCCAGCCTAACAGAAAACAGAACTTGAACAAGTCACGCAACCACTTGCAGTTGTTTTTGTCTGTTGTTTTTCTTGTTTTAGTGAATGTGAAAATGGAAAAAAAGATGAAGTGTGTGCTTATATTACTCCTCTGTTCTCCTGCTGCATCTCCAGGTAAGATATTTTATTCAAAGTTTATTTAAGTTTTTATTTAAAAAATATTTCTCTTGACTTACAGCAAATTGCATTGTAAGAGATTTGGTCTTTTACTTTTGCTATGAGCTGTCGCCATTTTACGCCTGACATGGACTACTAACAACACCTAACTTGTCAAAAAGACACGGAGATATTTGAGCATATAGAAGAGAAATTTTAGATCAGCAGCTGTGGCTATGCTTTTACAGATCTTTTGTTCAAAGTATCCTCTCTTGTGACATCCTTGTGTTTTTCACAAACTGGACTGTAGCTGAAAGGAAAGAACTACAGAGTGTTATTAAATCAGTACAGAACATTATACACACAGTTAAGTTATTTAAAAAATATTAACTTATTCTAAAAGCAGGTTACTTGATCTTTTATTTTCTATTTTATCCTTTTAACTTACACAATGTGGTGAAAATGTTTCTTTTCTTTTACGTGTTCATTACATGTTTTAGCAATGTCACTTTTGGGTCATTTAAAAGGTGCACATATGAAAGAGCATTCAGCTTTAACTTTATTGCACACACACAGTTACAACTCTGAGAAAGTTGGTGACACCCAGTCGGGGGAAATTCAACAGGTGAAGTCTTTTGTTCTGTGTCCTTGAGGATGGGTGGAAGAGACAAGGGGCAATCACTGTAATAGGAGATAAGGTTATAACATCTCTCCTTTTCTGGAGAACTTCAAGGGTACATCTGGTTACATCTGCTTGACTGTATTTAAAATTGACTGTGCTGTTTATCTTCAGAGATTCCTATCAGTGCCCTGTTGAATGGCCATTCTCTCACTCAAGATTGAGATTTAAAGGTGTTAATTTAATTAATTAAAATGATGAATCTGAACCAAGTTTTAGTTTTTATTTATCCTTCTTAAATGGTACAGAAATTATATAATACAAATGTCATCTGATTTTGTCCTGCCAATTTTACAGTAAAACACTCCCTGAAGTTTTTCTCCACTGAAACCTCTGGAGTCCAGAGTATCCCAGAGTTTGTGGCTGGTGCACTTGTTGATGAAGTTCAGATAGGTGACTTCAACAGTGTAAGAGGAGCAGAGCTAAAGAAAGACTGGATTAAATTCTTTGAGGATCATCCTCAGCACCTGGAGTGGTATAGTTTACAATCTCATGACAGTCATCACTTCTTTAAGGCTACAATTAAGACTTTGAGGCAACGTTTCAACCAAACTGAAGGTACGGATTTGTTTCACTTGTTACTTTTCTAATGTTGATTTGTCCCAAAGGTGCAGTTTCACTATGCTGTGCTGACATTGTACTGCTTTACCACAGTTACTGTTACTTTCTCTCTTTTCAGGTGTTCATATCATCCAGAGGATGAATGGCTGTGAGTGGAATAATGAGACTGGTGAGATTAATGGGTTCAATCTGTACAGTTATGATGGAGAAGACCTTCTAGCATTGGACCTGCAGACACTGACATGGATCACTCCAAAACCACAGGCTGTCATCACCAAACTGAGATGGGATGCTCAAAAAACTCGATTAGAATTAAACAAAAACTTTTTAGGCCATCGGTGCCCTGAGTTTTTAAAGGAGTATTTGCAGTATGGCAGGAGCTTTCTGCAGACAGCAGGTAGGATTACACAATCTGATGAAACATAATAGAATAGAAAGTTAATATGGATTTCTTGCATTAAAAGTAAAATAAAATTCAAAAAAGAATGTAACAACTGCCAATCTCTCTCCAGTTCTTCCCTCAGTGTCGCTCCTCCAGAAGACTCCCTCCTCTCCAATCAGTTGCCACGCTACAGGTTTCTATCCTGACAGAGGTTTGATGTTCTGGAGGAAAGATGGAGAGGAGCTTCATGAAGGTGTAGATGCCGGAGAGATCCTCCCCAACAATGATGGGACCTTCCAGTTGAGTGTTGATTTGAAACTTTCATCAGTCACACCTGAAGATTGGCAGAGGTACGATTGTGTGTTTCAGCTCTCTGGTGTGAACGAGGACATGATCACCAAACTGGACAAAACAGCGATCAGGACCAACTGGAGTAAGACTGGATCCTGCAGGGTTTGAAAACTGAGTTTGATATTATGAAGTTGTTAACTAAACAGTTTAGTTGTCAAATTTAATTCCATTCTTATTGATCAATAAAGACAAGTCTTTACAAGTGTAGCATAAGTCTGGCGTAAAAATGGCATCTCAAACTGGGTTAAAGTAATGAAGTACCATTTGCATTATGGTGAATCACTACTTTAGAGTGCACAAGGCGCGTAACTAATGCTTAAGTAATGAAGTTTTGATGGCTTTGTGTGACATTTAGCGATGTTAGACTCATCAACTATCAGGTCCTTGGTTTTCTCTCCACTTATTCTTTAGTAACTGCACACATTTTGGTTCAGTATTATAAGTGTTGTCATATTTTGTTCAACAGAAAAGCCCACTGACATGGGAACCTTCATCGCTGCTGCAGTGATTGTTCTAGCTTTCACCATCATCACAGCTGTGACATTTTTGACCTACATAAATAAAAAATGTGAGAAATCTAAAGTTTAGTTCAAGTTCATGTCAAGTAAAATGATTATAGGGCAGTAGAAGGATGAGGTGAGAAGGAAATAATCAAAGTAAAAAGGAAATTGACACAAAATTACAACAGATATGGTTGATTTTAGTTTGTTTCAGCTAAATGTTCTACATCCTGTAAGTAATGTAGAACATTTATTAGAGATATAATATGCATTATTTAATTGTAAAACAAAGTACAGACTTGTTCTTTTTTGTTTCACATGATCTGATCACTTGAACAGCCCTGATCTCCCTCTCACTTTCATAGCTGGGAAGCAAAGACCATGTATTCAATAATCACTAGAAATTACACCCTTGAAAAGGCTAAAATATGTGTAAACTGTATGCTTTTGATCTTCCAGCTCTTGACGATGGCTCTGAGCAGTCTGAGAGACTAAATCCACAAAGCTGAGTGTCCTAAGAAGTTCTTCACTCCGCTCTCTGTATGACTTTCCTCCAGCTGCTGCTGTCGCCTCAGTGTTTCAAATACATATGTTAAAAACACCAGTGAATCAATTAAGCACAGGTAATGATCACATTCTGCTGCACTTGTTGTAAATTAGTGCATGGTCAGACATCTGTATGCAGCTCCTGTGTGTACATTTCATGCATTTGTGATTTTATTTTGCTTCAGTATGTAGTCATAGTATCGATGCAGCAGTATCACAAGTCTTCTACAAAGCAAAACTAACTTTATTGATAGATATGTATCTGATGATGACTGTTTGGTAGAACTGAAGTGTGTGATTTTATTGAGAAATTGGAATCGTACAAAGCATGTGGTATTTTCCAAATGACACTAAAATATCTGAAGGATGACAGCAACAGACTCTCATTTGGAAATGAAATTTTGTCATTTTATTATTTCATTATAAAGTTGTATGAAAATTCTCCATATTGAAGATGCACTGAATCGCATGACCCCCTATGAACAAAGACTTGGCAACAGTTGGTTGAAACATTACAATTAGATTTTGTTCCTATTAATTTTATATATTTATTTGTGTTTCTTTTATTTTAATTCTAAATTTTATTTTGATTAAAAATAGTTCATATACTTTTTATTTCGGTTAAGTAAAGAATGTTGCTTCAGATGTGAGCTCTGCTTTGATGCTCTAATAAAAATGTTCTCTGATGTTTTTTTTGTTGTTTTTTTTTTAATCTTCAGAATTTGAACATTTCTATCTATCACTGATTTAAATGGATTCATAGTTTTCTCACTCTGAATGTTGTAAATTGCCTTCTGGCTTTGGGAGCATACAGATTCCTGATATTGTCAAGGTTCTGGGTCTTGGACTGAGTTTATTTTGTTTGAGTATTTCTGTGCTATTATGATTTAAGTTTCACTAGTCAGTCCTGAATTTATTCTTGTTATTGCTGCAAAGTTTTCCTGTAATTTCTTGTTTTTGAGGTTTCCTCTGTGTCGTTGTCCTGTGTCCCTCGCTTTCTCTCGGTCTGTGGGTGTGTGTGTCCTTGCGTCTTGTTTCCCTTTTCTATTTAATGTTGCCTCCCTTGTGTTTCCATGTTACCCCTGTCTCTCGTGTGTATTTATGTATGTTCTTCACAGCCCGTTTTGCGTCTCTCCTTCTTTCTCCAGCTCTCTCTCTTTCCCTCCATGACTTGTCTCCCTTCCCTCTTTGTGTTTCCTTCCTCTGTCTCCCCAGTCAATCCTCTTCTAATGTTCCTGCCTGTGTCTTGCTGTGTGTTTTATTTTGACAGTCTCTCGTTTTGTGTTCATTGTGTTTAGTTTTGTTTCCCCTGGTTCGTTATGTCTGTTCGTCCCAGCTTTGTTCCCATGTGTTTCTACTTCCCTCGTCACCCCTCTGTGTTTTAAGTGTGTGAGTTTTCCTTTGTTCATTGTCAGGTTATCTGTTATTTATGTGTCATGTTCAGGTAATCGTGTTTAAGTGGTTCATATCCAGGGTTCATGTTGTCATGTTTAGTCCAGTGTTTAGTCCAGTTAGTTTAGCCTTAGTTTCCTCTTGCCTTTTGCTTTGTATTGCTCACCAGTTTTTGAATAAACAGCTTATCCTCACTTAAGTCAAGTTTCGTTTCCATGGGTTCATTAATTCCATAGAATTACTTCCATAGACGGTGACAGAGAGTACATAGCACTAAGAGATTTAAACCTCTTATATTAAAGTATTCTGTGAATGCAGCTTTTGTGGTATTTCATGTTTTTGAGTTGTAAACAGGAGACAGATAAGATATGATAACTCTTTATTGTCATTGCACACTCATACATAGTACAATACTACAATAAAATGGGAAAACTGTCCCACATTGGCACTATGTACAACACAACACAACACAACACAGTAACTTAACTTAACAATAAAATGAATAATAAGTGTATGTGATCCTTTGCCATTACTGCTGCTAAACTGTCAAACAGTTCATATCAGAGTAGCTACCTCATGAGTGTTTCATATACAGGTCCTTCTCAAAAAATTAGCATATTGTGATAAAGTTCATTATTTTCTGCAATGTACTGATAAACATTAGACTTTCATATATTTTAGATTCATTACACACACTTGAAGTAGTTCAAGCCTTTCATTGTTTTAAGAAAACGCTGCACAACAAGAAGAGGTGACCGGACCCTGAGGAAGATTGTGGAGAAGGACCGATTCCAGACCTTGGGGGACCTGCGGAAGCAGTGGACTGAGTCTGGAGTAGAAACATCCAGAGCCACCGTGCACAGGCGTGTGCCGGAAATGGGCTACAGGTGCCGCATTCCCCAGGTCAAGCCACTTTTGAACCAGAAACAGCGGCAGAAGCTTCTGACCTGGGCTACAGAGAAGCAGCACTGGACTGTTGCTCAGTGGTCCAAAGTACTTTTTTCGGATGAAAGCAACTTTTGTGTGTCATTCGGAAATCAAGGTGCCAGAGTCTGGAGGAAGACTGGGGAGAGGGAAATGCCAAAATGCCTGAAGTCCAGTGTCAAGTACCCACAGTCAGTGATGGTCTGGGGTGCCATGTCAGCTGCTGGTGTTGGTCCACTGTGTTTTATCAAGGGCAGGGTCAATGCAGCTATCAGGAGATTTTGGAGCATTTCATGCTTCCATCTGCTGAAAAGCTTTATGGAGATGAAGATTTCATTTTTCAGCACGACCTGGCACCGGCTCACAGTGCCAAAACCACTGGTAAATGGTTTACTGACCATGGTATTACTGTGCTCAATTGGCCTGCCAACTCTCCTGACCTGAACCCCATAGAGAATCTGTGGGATATTGTGAAGAGAAAGTTGAGAGATGCAAGACCCAACACTCTGGGTGAGCTTAAGGCCGCTATCGAAGCATCCTGGGCCTCCATAACACCTCAGCAGTGCCACAGGCTGATTGCCTCCCACGCCGCATTGAAGCAGTCATTTCTGCAAAAGGATTCCCGACCAAGTATTGAGTGCATAACTGAACATAATTATTTGAAGGTTGACTTTTTTTGTATTAAAAATACTTTTCTTTTATTGGTCGGATGTAATGTGCTAATTTTTTGAGATAGGAATTTTGAGTTTTCATGAGCTGTATGCCAAAATCATCAATATTAAAACAATGAAAGGCTTGAACTACTTCAGTTGTGTGAAATGAATCTACACAACAACAACAACCTTTATTTATAGAGCACATTAAAAGCCTAGGCATACCAAAGTGCTTTACAGAAAAACAATAAAATAATACAGTCTAACGTCTAATGTTTATCAGTACATTGCAGAAAATAATGAACTTTATCACAGTATGCTAATATTTTGAGAAGGACCTGTATGTAGTCTTACATTTTTTGTAATGTGTTTTAGTTCTAATTCTTTTTCATTTTGTGAAAAAAAATTTGCAAGAGTTGATTAAAACTGCTTTATAAATAAGATATTGGGATATTTCATCTTCTATACTTTAGCTCAGCAAACATATTAAATACGAGGATGTAATATCCAAAAATGTCTATTATGCCCAAATTTGACAAAATTTATGTAAAGCCCCATTGATTACGACAACGATTAGGCACTATCTGAACATTATTTGACCAGTAATTTTCTTTATTAAAACCTGTGTCTCAAATAGGTTAACTTTAATGCAAATATACACAAATAATATCAGAAATTGCAGAAAGTTCATATTTAATGTAAAGTGAATTTGAGTGAATTTGAGTGAGATTCAGGATCCATCTGATCTGCTGAGCTGTTGTCATAGAGGTTTCTCAATACCACAAAAAAATAATAATAATAATAAAAAAATAAAAAATCTAATTTAGTGGAAATATATACACTGCTCAAAAAATAAAGGGGACAACTAAACAACACAATATAACTCCAAGTCAATCACTTCTGTGAAATCAAACTGCCCACTTAGGAAGCAACACTGACAATCAACTTCACATGCTGTTGTGCAAATGGAATAGAAAAAAGGTGGAAATTATAGGCAAGTATCAAGACTTCCTCAATAAAGGAGTGGTTCTGCAGGTAGTGACCACAGACCACTCTCTGTACCGATGCTTTCTGCCTGATGTTTTGGTCACCTTTAAATGCTGGCGGTGATTTCACTCTAGTGGTAGCATGAGACGGAGTCTACAACCCACACAAGTGGCTCAGGTAGCACAGCTCATCCAGGATGGCACATCAATGTGAGCTGTGGCAAGGTTTGCTGTGTCTGTCAGTGTAGTGTCCAGAGCATGGAGGCGCTAGCAGGAGACAGGCCAGTGCATCAGGAGATGTGGAGGAAGTCGTAGGAGGGCAACAATCCTGTGCTCTTCACAGATGAAAGCAGGTTCACACTGAGCACATGTGAGAGAAGTGACAGAGTCTGGAGACGCCGTGGAGAACGCTCTGCTGCGTGCGACATCCTCCAGCATGACCAGTTTGGCAGTGGGTCAGTAATGGTGTGGGGTGGCATTTCTTTGGGGGCCACACAGCCACCCAAAGAAATGCAAATGTTCTCCAGACCTGAATCCAACTGAGCACGTCTGGCACATCGTGTCTTGCCCCACCCACCAACACCACGTTGCACCACAGACTGTCCAGGAGTTGGCGGATGCTTTAGTCCAGGTCTGGGAGGAGATCCCTCAGGAGACCATCCACCACTTCATCAGGAGCATGGCCAGGCGTTGTAGGGAGGTCATACAGGCACTTGGAGGCCACACACACTACTGAGCCTCATTCTGATGTAAGGGAGTAGATCTGGTTTTGGCATTGGTGGGGACGGATGATTCAACCACCGATCTGGTGGTAATGTCTGAAATATCTTACTTACTAACTACATCCACTTACTTGTTTGAAATGAAAAAGGAAATAACATGAAATGAAACTAACCGGAAGACTGATCAGACAGCTCTGAGTCCGAATCCGGCTGAACTTCTAGGTCTTCTCCATCCGAGTCACAAGGGTCGACTTCCGTCAGGATCATTTCCAAGGCCTGCTGAGTGGTGAGTCTTCTCTGCATTTTCTTTCCTTGGAGAGGAGGTCCGTACACCACAGAATTCTTCAGGGCAATGAAGGATTAGGCTAAGTGCAGTGAGATTGTATCATATATATACCCTTGATCACAATTGATCAGACATTATTCTGATACAGAGGAGGCGATACTGGAATTATAATTAGTATCTATGCATGCATTTGTGATTTTGTTTGACCTTCCCATTGCTCACAATTTGAATTTGTTCACACTGCAGATGAGGAGACTGCTTCTCCACCAAAAAAGAGAGCTTGTTTGGGGACTGAGACAGCGAAAGATGGCACAGTGTGGCGTGAAGAACATGTGGGGACCTGTCTCCCTTTCACCCCAATAGAAGCGTACGCTGCAGATGGAGAGCCAACGGCTAAGGCCAGGAGAAGTATCTCGAGTCGCCTTCAGAGCTTCCTGTGTTTCATCACTCTTGACATGCTTCATAGCATTCAAGAATGGACTATTCAACATGCACAGCAAACGGAGCATGTTCATTGGTTCATGGACCTGCATGATGCAAGAAAAATCAGGCCACTGTGCGATGTGTTCACTGCTACAGATACACATGTGGTAAATGCAGACTACAGATACCATGGCAGTGTCAGGATTGTGAGTGATTGCTGAAAATGTTGTAATGTACTCACTCACTTTTTATTATTATTTGTAAATATGTGTACAAATGGTTGGTTTTTTGTACTGTTTTCATCAATAAATCTCAGCAACACAGGACCTACACCCATGTGTGTTGATTTCTCCCTAAGATGGCAAACTGAAACACTCCACTCCCCCACCCCCTCAATCACACACCCCCACTCCCCTCCCTCCAGAATTCCTAGGTAACAACCTAATATACATATGAATGACTAGCCAATTTAGCTTCCACTTCCAGCATTTGACTGCTCTCCGGCTTTTAAAGGTAGAACGGTAGAAGCCTGGCAATCCCAGTTAGATGTGATCTAAGTAAAATCCAGGGGATGGCAGTAATGCAAAATCTATGGATGCAACCTGCCGTTAAAATGGAAGAAGAAGACGAAGAATGCTTGTGATTTGTTGAGATTGTATGACGGTGGAAGTTGTATCACCGAGGGCGGTTTCTTAAACTCGGCGCCCGAGTTTAAGAGGAGATTTTCGCGGAGCTGCCGGCTTACATTGCTGTAAACTTGGGTGTGCAACGCAGTGTGTTCGCTGCATTGTCTGTTTAATAAGTACGAAACGTGGAGCAATTAAGGCACCGGGTGTTCATCTCAGGGGCAGCTGTACTCCGTTTTCTGCTGGATTAATGCACCGTATGTATATGAGTTCACCCTATATTTTCATATATTCATATGTTACAGTGAAAATATACTGTGGCTAATTGCGTAGTTTGACTATTGCCACTTGTTATATTTATGCAAACAAACGTTTTATCTCTGGGTGTCTGCTTGCCAGTCCACCTCATTCGGCAGCATGTGTTTATTGACGCCTGCCAGCTTTGGTTACATTTGCATGACTCTGTGGCCTCCATTACATCGGGGCCTTTTCTCTTTGAAGATCCGCTATCTAACCTAACACCGATTCTCTGTTACTGTTTCCCGAGGCCCCATACTGTGATTTGGTGATTGCCGCGTATCTGAGGGCTGAAGCTGGATTTTTGGTCACCTACCGACTGAACACTGGTTCTAAAAGTTAAGTCTTTTTTTTAGCTGACGTCATCTTTGGCTCTGCCTGGGGTGGATGCACAGATTTTAACATGTCTTTTCTGGCAGCTACTTTTTGGATTCGTTTCTGTTTTATTTATTTTTATAGACATGCTGTTATATCTATTTTCCCCTATTCATTGCTAATCTTGTTTATTGTAACTTTAATTAAATTTGAATTGTATCTATAACATTTAGCTGTTACTGTTAATCCCCTGAAATTTGACACCAAGCTGCCACTAATACACTGAATCAGACTAATAGTGACTCTTATTGATTACTAATTTGATTTCTCTTCTGTTTCTCGATAGAAAAACAGAAGATGGAAGGTGGACCAGTAGCAGTGTGAGCTTCCTGTTAAATGTTTTTAAGACATTTTTATTGACCCTGCATTATTGGTAAGTCCTATCCTAATCCACTCTTTCTCTTTTCTTTCTTTTGTTTTGTTGTTTTAAGCATATGTAATGCTGTTTTTAGGCCAGCATTTAGGCCAATAGTGGGTGTGCTGCAGTCATTCATTCTGTTCAAACCTGTGTGTCCTTCTCTTAATAATATTAAACCCTTAGATATCCTGGGGGTAAAATTTCCACAGGCAGCATCGCTATAAAATCATTAAGTTTCCTTGACTGTACTGCCGCACATGCATGGACTGTATGTGACCAGTTGCGCATGGACTGTATGTGCAACTGTATATGTTTCGTTTCATTGACATTAATTATTCCATATAGAACAGAGGTGGATATCACATATCAGATGTTTGACCCTGGGATTAGCATTGCATCCAGTAGTGGTGTGGCACTATCCACTGTTGTGAATCTTTGTGACAAGTGAGCAGCCAAAAGTGGCTTGTACAAATCTGTATGTGTACAAATCTTGCCATGTGCTGCTGTATCCCTTACCACTCTGGTTCCTGCAAAGGTTGTTCTGCTTCACGAACAATCATCACCTACTCTACTACTTTTCAGTTTAACAAACACCAATATGAGTCATTACATCTGTTACAAAATAAAACGAATAATATAATAACTAATAACCTAAACCTGATGCCAACGCAGTGCTAGGAGTTGAATACAATTTGTATCTGTTGTGATTTTGACCTGCAATAGTCATGAAAGCAATATGGTCAGAAAAATCATTACTCATTTTAATTTTCAAATTTCACATTTGAGCTACCTTATGTTTGTTATCAGCAGCTGCCTTCATGTTTGGATTGTTCCGGGTATGTCTTGGTATATTTTGTCAGTGAGCAACAGTCCACTGCTGCTTGGTTCTCTCTTTGGAATGCAGAATTTAAAGGTGTATGATAAATAGTTTTTTCATCAGGTCGGAGACATGGCTTCAGATACGATGACAGTGGCTGGTCTGGGTCGACCTTTTGATCTCGGAATGCTCTACAATGCATTAACAGATGAGCCAATATGTGGTAAGTTTTGTCTTTATTATAAACATAAATGGTTTGCTTTTAAAAATGTCATGCTTGGACATGTTCAAGGTGTCTTAAAGATCAAAATTAATGGTATTTGCTGATGAAACTAATATTTTTTCCTAATAATAATAATAATGGGGGCAGCACTGTTGTGCAGCACTGTACGGTGGTTAGCACTGTCACAGCAAGAAGGGCCCGAGTTCAATACCACCATGAGGCCGGGGTCTTTCAGTGTGGCGTTTGCATGTTCTCCCCGGGTACCTCAGCTTCCTATCCGTGTGGGGATAGGTTAATTGAACAATCTAAATTGCTCATAGGTGTGAATGCAGGGGTGAATGTGAGTGTTGGCCCTGGGACAGACCGGCGACCTGTACAGGGGTGTACCCCACCTCACGCCCTAGAACAGCTGGGCTAGGCTCCAGCCCCCCCCCCCCCCCCCCCCCCGCGACCCTAAAAAGGATAAGCAGAGGCGAATGGATGAATAATAATGATAATAATAGTAATAATAATGATGATGTAAATCATGACTTAAGAATTTTAAAAACTGGATGGAAAGTAATAAATTATCACTAAATCTTAGCAAAACAAAATCAGGTGTCACTGATGTTTATTTATAGAAATGATGTTAGGTTAAGTGCCAAATTACAATATTTGTCTTAAGGCACTTATCTATTATAAGCTGAAGATGCTAAAATCAATGAAAGACTAGAGGCTTCTTACCTGCCTCCATAAAACACAGGAGGAAAGTATTATAAGCAGATGTCTTCCCCAAAGATCAAATGGGTTGCTTGCAAAACATGAAGCTGGCCTGAACTCAATGGGAAGTTCAAGTCAGCTTGGGAAAATACAAATTAGAATAAGCAATACTGCTCTTAAGCAGGGAGGAAATAAAACAATAGTCACACATAAAATACAGTTATGATCTTGTAACATAATGATGATAATAATGGCTCATAAAATCATGAGCTGCACATTATTTCCTGACTTTACCAAAACCTTCATAAAATAACTAACATTTTGCCATTTCTTTAGGTTTCACCTTGTGGGATGATCGCACTCTACAAGAGCACACAGTTGAGAGACCTCAAAGAAGCAGCACATTTGAAACTTCTGCTTGCGACTCCATTGAATCCAGATGTTCCTTGTTGGGTTTAGAACCTTCTTTGAAGGCCAGTTTTCTTAGTGGATGTGTAGAAGTTGGAGGATCTGGCAAATATCTGACCGATAAAAAGACATTCAAGAATCAAAGTAGAGTGACTATTCAGTACCAAGCTACCACCAGCCTCAGAAACTTATCAGCATCTATAATTGGCACCATAAATGAACCGCAGAGACAAATTATAGAAAGTATCTCAGCTACACATATAGTCACTGGTATCCTTTATGGGGCCAATGCCTTGTTTGCATTTGATAGTGAGAAGTTAGACAGTAGCCAAGTTAAGGACATCCAGGGAAGCATGGATGCTTTAATAAAGAATATCCATGTTGACGGGAAACTTAAAGTTGAGCTGACTAAAGAAGAAAAAGACCTGAGCAAGAAATTCTCCTGTAAATTCTTTGGAGACTTCATTCTGGACAGCAACCCTACAACATTTGAAGAAGCAATGAAGACCATTGCAGAACTGCCAAGGATCCTGAAGGAACAGGGTGAAAATGCTGTTCCTATAAAAGTTTGGCTGACGCCACTGAAGACATTAGGGTATGGAGGTGCAGAGCTGGAGAAAGACATCAGCGTTGACTCACTAAGGAGGATTGAAGATACTCTGGAAGCTCTAAAGGAGATGAAAGAGAGATGCAATGACTCTCTGGATGAGGTGGTGGTGAAGCATTTCCCACAAATTAAAAAGTACCTACAAAAGTTTCAGAAGTTGTGTAGTGATAAAATCTCTCACCTCCAACGAGCTCTGAAAAGAGTGCTTCCCTCCATTCGTGAAGGTAGAGCGGATGAGAGCTCACTGAACGACGTTTTTGATGACTTAGACAAGTCACCATACAATCTGGGAAATCTTAGCAAGTGCCTTGACTATAGAGAGAGAGAAATCAACATCATCAGGTCATTTTTAGGGAGGATGGAGGGAATAAAGATTGTTCAAAATAAGTCAGAATTAGATAGAGCAGTACTTGCCACAGGTGTAAATCATGCATTTTGCTTTGTTTTCACCGGTTTGAAAGATGCTGACCTCAACCTTGATGCAATGGCCAATGAAGACCCATGGTATTATTTAAACAATACCTTGGATCATATGAAAGAAGTAGCAGCCATTTTCATGGATCTTTACAGAGCATACGAGAGCAGCACCCAGCTCTGTTTCCTTGTAGCAGCTATACAACACCAGAATCACAAAGGAGCCACCATTTATCATTACAAGGAGGGCAGAATGATTACTGATCATTTTTCAAAGCCCAAGATTCGGGATCCCAGAACTATAAAAAAGCGAAGTCATTTTCTTTGGAGTAAGTATTTACTTCTGAGATTGCTAGTTTTCAAAATCATCAAATATTTAAAGTCATTGTTGTAATTATCAACAAAAACCAAATAGTTTTTTTTTTAATATTAGAAGTTACTTGACTGAAGTGGATGATTATGTAAATGACTCCTAAAAGATTGTGTTTTTGCCTTTCATTCAGATTACTGTCATCTCACTCTGGACCCAGACACTGCAAATAACTACCTCACTCTATCTGAAGACAACAAGAAGGCAACATGTGGGAAGTGGCAAACCTATCCAGATCACCCAGAGAGATTTGATAAGCATACACAGGTTCTGTGCAAACAGCCGCTGACTGGTCGCCACTATTGGGAAGTAGAGTGGAGTGCTGGTTATATGCTGAGTGATGTTGGCATAGCTGTTGCATACAAAGAAATTGGAAGGAAAGGAAGAATGGATGATTTAGAGCTTGGATGTAACAAGATATCCTGGTATTTTGGTGTGGATAAAAGTGAATCCTTTGTTCCTTTGAGAGACGCACTTTACAAGATTGTGTCTAAAGTGGAATCCTTCATCCCTTTTGTAGACATATTTTATAAAAGGCTTGTAGCATACCATGATAATAAGGTGAGGAAGGTTTTTTCTCTTACTAGATTGGGCAGAGTTGGTGTGTATCTGGATTGGCCTGCAGGCACTTTGTCCTTCTACGATGCTTCCTCTAATAGTGACAAACTTGTTCATCTGTACACCTTTGAAACCAAATTCTCAGAGTCTGTTTACCCAGGGTTTTACATCTATTACCCATCCAATTATGTTGTCCTGTGTCCAGCTAGTCAGATGATGGAAAACATTTTGCATATACCTGTTTACTGACAAAGAAGTAAAGCGCTCTGTAACAAAGACCAACTTGTAGAGGAAAGTCTCACCTTTGCTTTGTTGCTTCAGTGGTGAAGGAGGAGTGCTGATTGAGCATTGCTCGCACTTCCACCTCCAGCCATTGGCCAACTCTAGGGTGACCGAGCAATAAGGTGTGACGGACCTTATTTGCAATGCAAAAACGAAGTATGATAATAAGTGCTTTGATACAGCTTCTTTGTCCATGCTTTGCTGTCTCCTCATTGCTTGCTACACACCAAGGAGTGTCTACGCTCCACAAAAACAGCAACATGCTTTCTGTATGACACACGGTGATGACCTAGATTTAATTGGTCTGATATTTTGTGCCATATTTGTAAATACTTGGTTGAGGAGAAATGTAATCTAAATTTTTGACTGCTTCTTGTCTTTGTTATCCTGACCTGGTTGAATAAAAGGCTTTGTAAATACAACTCTCAAAGAAAACCTGTCTGTGGATTTATTCATTCTATAACACCTACAGATTAGTATTGCTGTGTAATATCACGACATCCTAAGCACATCTATTGCATCAACAACCATTGCCCTTACTATTTGCCAGTATTTCTGCTATAGGTATCGTAAGTACCACTGCCATCCACACATGGGCCTAAGCCAGGGTTCAGCAACCTTGAACACACAAAGAGCCATTTGGACCTGGTTTCCACAGAAAAGAAAACACTGGGAGCTGCAAATACTTTTTTGACATCTAAAATGAAGATAATAAAAATATGTGTGTGTGTATCTGTGTGTGTGTGTGTGTGTGTGTGTGTGTGTGTGTGTATATATATATATATATATATATATATATATATATATATATATATATTATTTTTTGCCATTATGCTTTTCTAAACAACTATAGTATGTTGCTTATGAAATCCATGATTTGCTACAGAGAAAATTACATTTTATGTTATAAATACAATTTGAATTCTTTAAAAATTATATCGAAAAAGAGACTCCCAGTTGAAGGTCTCTAACGAATTAAAGAGCTAAACTTGAATTATCCTAGTGATGGTCCGCTTGAAGCTGACGCTCCGGTGCGTGTGTCACAAAAATCAACACAGTGCTTCAGAAGCACTGTGTCGAAGCTTGATTCGTTTGGCCAGAGTCACGTGATCAGTGACGTCCGAAGCTTCATTTAGAACCTAACTGCTTCGGTGTCTGATTCAATGGCTTATAAGGAAGTGAATCATTCGCGGGATTTGTGGTGTTTTGATGGTAACAGATAGCGAACCACTGATCATTCCACTGAGAGATTTGGAGCCAGCGAGGAATAGAGGAGTTTCTGTTGTGTGGGAGTATTTTGAGTTGATTTTGGTCAATCGGGTGGGTTTTCCAGCTTCGTGTTCTTGTTGTTTGCTTTTGTTTTGTGCGTGTTTATTTTATCTGACAACGGGAAAAACTTAAAATATCAAAAATCTGCTTTTCATAATATAAATATCATTAAATAACTTTAGACAAAACTTCTATCTCACACTTTACATTTAATGTTATAAAAATATATATTTTATGTTTTAAATAATCTTAAACTGTTAGTCTGCAAAATGTGCAGCAATTTAATTTATTTATTCTCTTTAGCTGATAGTTTGTGGGGCCCAATTAGACTGTATAACTGCATCACTACCAGTTTCTGTACACTCCAGCCTCCTCTGTGCCATGTGAATGGATTTTCCTTAAGGCAGGAGAAATTATCTCCACGAAAAGGAACAGGTTCGACCATCGCACAGTGGAACAAATGTTCTTCTTAAATACAAATGGAAAAGGGTTACCTTAAATGCATCATGTTTTTAATTTGCAAGTTCATAAGCATTTTCCCTTTCTAGTTCACAATCAATTCTACCCCCAGGTCAAAAATATGTATAGGAAAATTTCCCTAATGTAATATTATTTATAAATATACCCGTCTAGCGATTAACTGCATAAGTACATGGAGGCGGGACCTCACAGCAGAAGTATACTCCATAATGTGTTGTACATTATTATATATATATTACATGTAACGTGGTATTTTTTTCAATTATTGTATTTACCAACATCAAGAAATCACAAGCAAAGAAATATTTAAACAAGGAAAGTTTACTGGTCAAAATTATTTATTAAATAAATAAATGACATTTTTGTCACCCCAAAAAATACACGTTTAAAGCAACACAACGGTGGCCCAATATCAGACAGAATTCCACTCTGTAGCGATTGCCAACGCTACAGAGAAGCAGTTGGTTTAAGTTTGTGGATTCAAGCTGCTCTTCATATTTTTGGCCACCAGATGTCACCAGAGAGGACCGTGTTGAAAAGCTTCGAGTAATGAACCGTTTTTCAATACAAGCTTCAATGCTTCAGAAAGCTTCATTTGACCATCATTACATTATCCTGTCACCGTGGGGTACGCCAGTGTGTCTTGTTGAACGGACCCAGAAGCAAACACTGAAGAGGAGTTGCAGTTTTTAACAAAAAGCAATCCTTTATTTGGATGATGGCACGAGAAAAACTTGGGGGGGGGGGGGACTATGAAACACTATAACGGTATATAAACAATGATCATGTTAAAAAAAGAAGGAAACATTGCCCTTATTATTGTTCCAGGTCTTTATGGACAGTATCCATTCCACTGCCAGCTACTGTGTACAAGTCATAACCAACAACCTTCTATATGTTGGTGTTATTTTCCTGCTACTCGGGTCATACAAGTCTTTGGCCTTAAAGGAAGATGATCCGTCTGTTGACTAAATAAACAACAGCTAAACTCAAAATAAAGTGATCGCTTTCATAGAATCTCAAAGAGCACTCTGTCCCATAAGTTTGTGTCATTGCCTGTTTTTCTTTAAGCCTTAAAATGCTAATGCATTTGACCCTTATGACAAAAAACATCACACTGCCCTTACATTTACTGATGAGAGGGATCTGCAAAGCTGGACTTCGGGTCACTCATGGTCACTCATCAAAGCTGTGTAGTGTCCCCAGACTAAACCTCTGGGTGCAAGGACATAGTCTTGTGTGGGGACACCAAAATGTGGAGATGGACAAGTCCATCCTGTTGCTCCTTTATCCATATTCACATATGCCAGAGCTGGAGTCCAGCTGGTCTCTTTCTGCCTCTGTGACTGACATGGACGAGTCCTCAGAGGAGGCTGGAGAGCAGTTTTCTCTCTCAGAGTGCACAATCATTTCCAGAGTCTGCTGTATGCTGTACAGTCTTTTACTTTCGTTCTTGCTCCCGGGATAACTTTTGCAGATCCAAAAGGTTAGCATAATTTATTATTATTAAATTAGTTTTTAATTCAAAGAATGGTCTTCTAAGACAAATAAGTTAGACATCACACACACACTCGTTTTCATATCTTTGTGAGGACATCTCATTCACATAATGCTTTCCTTAACCCTAAGCATTAAAATATGAACGCCTAATCCTAACCCTGAGCCTAAACCTAATCATAACCTAATTATAAACTTGACCACAAGCTGCTATGAATAATAAAAACAAGTAGCATCATCTGGTGGACGAACGTAAACATTGAAAGCACGTAGTGCAGAAAAAGAGTCATAATATAAAGGCATTAACTGACATTTTTTGTCCTTAGAATCAAATGTGTTGCTTTTGTGTAGCTTAGACATTTTAGTCTAATTTAAGGAACTGGGGTAAGTCTAAAATATTATATAAAAAAAAGAATACCATCAGGCAAATATGAACTTATTTTAGCACAGCAAAATGGCACGAAAATGGGAGGGAATCGGGGTCTTTCACGATCCTATCTTTTCCGAGATATGAAGTGTATGTATATGTATTATGCATATGTATATGTAATATGTATTCTTTTTTTTAAATTAACGTCATATACAATTAAGTAGCACAAATGGACAAATAGCTGTGTCAGTGAGGGGAATTTAATTCTGGCCATAAAAGTATTAACGGTTTGTATTGTGACTTTTCACTGGATCACTCGTGTCTGCAGGCTGACAGTACTGCACCAAATGTTACATTGACAGGAATAATACATAATAGATATCCTAACAGTCTCCGGAACTCTGGTTTCCTAATGTTTACATAGAGACAATACAATTTCTCGCATACTACAAGACTTACAGGAATTAGACTTATTTAAATCATCAAAGCTTCTTCTTCCAGTTTCAATTTATGGCAGGTTATTAATCCCATATCAGTGGACATGCAACAGAGAAGGAGAGGGGAGGAATCTGAACCTTGTACTCTGTCGGGCTTTCAAAAGCAACGTCCACCAAATTCACGGTTACCAATGCTGCTTTCAGGATAACGAGGAAATGAAGTTATTTTTGCTGTTTTTCTTCTGCCGTGATTTATTTGCAGGTAAGAAAAACTTAAATTTTGAAGCTTTGACAGCAGCTCACCTGACCTCCAGCAGCGTGTTTAGTAAGCGTCGATAATTACCGTGATCCCAATGTAAATTTTAATATTCACTTTGTGGAATAATAATGATACAGAACAGGATGGAACAGGACGTGGATTAGCAATGGAATTTTATTGGCACTGTAGCATTTTTATTTTTTTTTCTCCCCCCTTCTCCTTCAAGCTCTGTGAGTTGATAACGAGCTGATAACGTGACAGTGTTAGTGTTTCATTTTAATGTCTGAATCTTAAAATATGTAAAATAGACTAATAAGTTCCATAGCTTAACACCCCCCCCCCCCGCATTTTTACATATTAGACATTATCTTCATTACCACAGATATCAGATGTCTTGTGTTCTTCTATAGTACAGCTGTTACACATATACTATTTGTGTTTAATAGTGGAAAAGTAATAACAATGTAATAATACAGCTCTCCTCTGGATAAGTCCTCACACATTTCTAACAAATGAGTTTACCTGTATAGAAAACCGTACTGATTTTTCTTTACCATCATTCTTCTTCTCGCATTCATCTTACCTGCCACTGGACACGTGGCCTCATCTGGTCAATATTTAAGCCACTACTATGAGCTGTTCTTTTATGTAATCACTGAAATAAACTAACTGCATCTGTGTATAGGCTACACATTAGCGCACTTCTGGTAGACGACTCAAAGACTCGCAAGTGCATCATCATGCTAATTTGGCCTGTCAGTCACAAAACTGACACTGCATCTCTTTAATGAGATGAAACAGCAGTTTTTGTTTTGACTGGACCGTATTAAATTTGGCACTCGTTATCTAGATATACTAGATCACTGATTAGGTCTTTATTTAATCCATGAAATACTCTTAAAGTAACAACTGAATTTCAAATGATCAACCTAAATATAATATTTTTTTTGTCCTCACTTAGAAAAACAAAATGGACTACACCTCTGTTAGGCTGCTGACATTGTTTGCATATTTTTAACTATAAAACAATATTGTTTGTCTCACAGCAAAACACTCACTGAAGCATGTGGCCACTGGATCGTCAGGAGTCGCAAACAT